TCAATAATATAACAAAAACTTAAAAAACTAAAGTTTACGATATGTTAAATGCAGTTCAGTTAAGTGTTGAAGAGCCAAGTTTCGGCACGAATGGGTCAGCTTGACTGGAGTGATACCACGGCCTCCCAGAAAACCGGCGTGAAACGACCACAGCGTTGTGTTTCGCCATGTGAGTGAGGTTAGCGGAGACCCAATCATAACCCTCCTCCGATCCCTCCCAATCCCTAAATCTCCAAAACCCTAATCCTTAAAAGGTTCGCAACTCCTTCGTTGTTGTGATTTTTTTTGCCGACCTCTAACATAAAAAAATAGTTCCTTAGTAATACAAGCATAAAATCGAGAGTAATGACGAAGTGTTGAACTAGTTAATTTATCATCACTATGGAACTATAAAATCGGTCCTCTTTGAGAAACACTATTAATATTTCCTTTCAACGGTATCGAAGAAGACTAAAAAATATTCGCTGTCGTCTATTACGAACGATTATTGAAATAATTGGCCATGTTTTGTTCAAAGGTAATTAAAGTGAGGAAGTTGATTTTATTTTCTAAGGTCTCTGTAAACTTGAATGGACTGCTCTTACCCTTATTTTAATTTATTTATTTAATCGATAGAATGTACTTCAAATATTTACATTTGTGTCCGAAATTACTTCTCTACAGGTTACCTTTCATTTCCTGTGGCAAAGCGACCCATACTACATATAATAAGTACATTTTAACTGTTAATTTGTGGCGCATCTGCCTATATGTTAAAATTCTATACTCAATAGGATAAATATAATGAAATTTAATCAAGATTCTTTAAATTTTATTTCGAAGGCATTTTTAGGAGGAATTATCGTCGAATGTCATCTCTCGCCCTGGGTGCGGATAAAAAGAGTGTCACACTTTCAATGACTAAGAGTGCGCAGTTGTGTCTTCTTCACTGAACCGGTCGCGGTATGTCATAGAGCCTGATCTACAACCTTAGATATCCGAGTCATTAAGTTTGGAATTATGACTAGATCTAGATTCCGCTCACGGCTTCGCCCGCGTTGTATGTTGAATAAAAAGTAGCCTATTTCGGAGTGTATCCTATGCCTGTGCCAAATTTCATCCAGATCCGTCCAGCCGTTTTGGCGTGATTGAGTAAAAAACATCCAAACATCGTAACTTTCGCATTTATAATATTAGTAAGATTGAGCTTTATTTCAATAAGTCTCGTAGCTAAACTGTAGGAATAAGATAACTGTTAACTGTTGATCCATCTGTAGTCTCTCAAGAAATTATTATCATATAGCTATTATAAAATATGTCTATGTTAGGTACATTAGTAGCAATGAGTTTCAGTGACGATCAAGATCAGTATATCTCTGTGTAATTGTGACAATTGTTTGGAGTATCCAACCAATTGACTTTGCACCTCGCGTCTCGGATCTATTACGAAACATTGGATTCAATGAGTTCGTTTGATATTTATGAAACATTTTCCTTATTATACTATTGTGCCAAGAATTCCTATGCCTTTGTTAATGAAAAGTGAGGATAGCACATTGATTGTACAGTCAGGGGTCAAAAATACAATTACACTCTACCAATTCTAAAATTTCTTTGTCGGAAAAGTTTAATGGTTCACAGCCAGTTTATTCAATAATTTAGATTCTATGCTATAAATTAAAGCAGTCCTCAACCATTGACTCTATTCTACAAAGATATTTTGGTCATTTTAAAATTGGTAGAGTGCAATTGTATTTTCGACATTACATTACACTTTTTTTTTCAAATTTTTATTTAAAAGAGCATTTTTACACAGAACATTTTTCTATGTTTTTTTAATGCTTTCTCTGATTAAGTCTTCGTTGTGGATTGAGAAAGTGGTCCGAATTACACTTAAAACGGTCCCAAGATCAAACTAAGATATTATCTGAATGTTTAGAAAAAATAGAAGGTACTATATGTCTGATGATACTGCATACTTTCAGGGGCCTCGAGTCTGCTATTACAATAGTGTCAGAATAGTAGATCATTGGTTTGAAAATTGCTGATTTTGACAAGTTTGGTAATCTACTATCACGATAGCGTCATTATGACTTTCCAATGCCACTTCATTGAAATAATTCTTTAGAACGGTACTCTCGTACATAATGGCAAATGAATATTTGACATAATGCGGTAAATTAATAATAAAAAAATGACAGTTCCTTTATTCAATGATTTACGTTTAGAATTTGAATGTGCAGTTATTGTTTATAATTCGTTAAAAGACATCTCGTACTATAATTCTATTACGACATCGCCGAACGCCAATGATCAGAAATTTTGAATTAACAGATTACGAACTTTTGGACAATAAAAATGACAATGAAATCGTGTAGGAATGACAACACTTTGCAAATAGTAGACTCGGGCCCCAGGAGTAAACCAAAGTTCTTTTAAAACCACCAACACGAGCAATAGAACTAAAGCCGAATATCTTTCTTAAGAATTTCGTCTTTAGAGACACGACAAATCGTTTACTACTGTTAACGTTGTGTACCACTGCAACGTTGCAACATGTGGACACAGTAACATTTTGTATAATAAGATTGCAGCATACAGTTACTACCTAGCTATTAGGATCGTTAAACTGATGTTAGTGTACAATGTGGCTTCAAAGCTAACTTTAGCACCACTTTGGATTGAGTTTATCTTGTGGGCTGGTCTTGGCATTATAGTGATCTAGGCACGTATATACAACCCAGGTGAGCTTTCAGGTGGAATTAATTATTATGCACGTCAAATGTTATGACAACGTTGTATGTCCATAATTGATTTAGCTTAGAGACTTAGTTCGTTGCTACCTCGTCTCGTGTTACTTAGAGTTCAGGTAACTTTGTGATAATAAGAAAATAGTGTAACTAGCTCTCATGCGTAAGTAATTTTATGACGATAAATTAAACTTACCTAGTAGGATGGTGAGTATGTTTTTCCTTATTCTGCACGTGTCCTATGAATAGTGTTGTCTATTTAATCGAGTCGAATAGTTTCTACGATTCTTTATGTAACTTTGTTTTTAAACAGATTTATTTTATTAATATAAACTAAATAAGTATACGAATGTGTATATATACGAGTACAGATTAAAAGATATTGCCTGTTCTCGTATGAAGTCGTCCGAGTAAAGTAAGTAGCAAGTTTTAAATTTGTCATGAGATTATACCTAACTGCTGGATTTTTTAGAATCATAAACGTTATTCGAATCATATCTATGCTGAATAACTGCCTTTAGCACAAAATAATTAATACAAAACACATAATATGCTAGCAGCAAATAGATCTGTGGGTTAGCTCTAAAAAGAAATGTTGTGTTGTTAATACTTTTTTTAAGGGGGGATAATCATCAAATGTCTTCTCTAACCCATTGTATGAGGAGAGGGAGTGTCAGTTTCTTACTGACTAAAAAATCCCGTTCCTTCTCCTGGTTTAAACCGAGGCCGAACTGTTGGTGAGCTCTGAAAAACCCTAGGCCTTAGCAATTATTATAAAAACATAATCACTGAGTTCGGCAGTTAAATATAAAGACTGATGTGTTGATGACCAGATCAGGGGAGTCAGATTATGCCCAGCATTGTATACCTACAGTATCTAAGATAAACTGTAGGGTATCATATAATATTATAAACAGAGACAATTATGTACATAGAAATATTATTGCCCTGGCAACTAACATTGTATTATTCCTAAATAAATTTATGAGTTTATTTTAGAACTTAATTGCGTAACATGTTAATATCAAAGATGTTTTTGTTTTTGCAGAAAATGCTTGTTTTTCGCAAATACTTCAATACCAGGAAAAAAAGAGAGATTTTTTTCTCAAGGATCCTTGTAAACACGTGTAACCTTTTGCTTCAATTTTTAGTCACGTTTTAGTGGATAGGGATACAAGTCGAAAAAAGAAGTATTTGGACGTTTTGATAATTGAATAACAATATTATTAATTATAAACTTCGTACACTACCGTCGGTGTAATAAAATCAAAATAGTAGTTAAATAATGATAACTTTAATAAATATCTATCCTTAAAAAACTTTTTAAAGGGTTCATTTTTAATACTTAAAGTAAATTTAGCGAAGTGGTTACTACGAGACTTTATTACAAACGCCTTTAATATTAGTTTAAGACATTCTTATGTTGTACATATGTATTTGGATGCAGTTTGTCCAGAGACGTAACAGAAGACGTTTATTGAGATGCCACTAAACCACCACTGAGGGCCTACCATGACATACCTTAAACGACAATATGCCGAGCGAGAAAGAGGGAAGAAGCTATAAAAGGTGATTCGCTTCTCAAAAAAAAAACGACGTTCAATAAGTTATTTATTTTACAAAAGGAAACCAGTTCTATTATGAAATCTCCAGTGCATAAACAATATCGATATCTTTGTCATCATACCAATATCTAGGAGATAGGTCCACCTCTAAAGGAAAGATTACACCGGCTGATTGAGTGTTAGCTCTAGCCTGTGATCTAATTACGTCAGCAAAGTTCACCAGGGACCCGTTAAGTGTGGAAACTTGTTAAGAAAGAAATTTAAAAAGGTTTCACAATAAATTTTAATATGTGAAGATTTCATTAAATTTCTTAGCTAGAAGTTTTGATTATATATGTAGTTTAATGTTAGTTATTTTTTGCCAATGAAAGGTAGACCCTATTTTGTACTTTTTAAATGTACAGTTTCTAACATACCCGTAAGCTAATATTTTAAGGGTGAAATAGTTTAACATAAAGCGTTACTTAAATACTCGTTTTAAATGTATTTTACTTCACATCTCGCGCTGGTTGGAGTGAGAAAGAGTGCCAGACTCATACTGACTAAAACCATCTCGTTCCTTCTTCTGCTTCAGGCTCTTTGCTCCAAGCCAAGGCCACAGCACATAATTGTCCTAGACCGGCAATCCCGGCACTTATATACCGGTTCCAGTTAGAAAGATCAGGACATCACAATTTAATAGATAATTAACACATTGTGTACTTACCACAAATAAAAACGGCGATATATTGTTTTAATTCAGGACCGGTTGGTAGTGCTTCAAACAATTTTCCGAATAATATTTTTTGTTCGTGTTTCTCTGTGTGATTGTTACTGTAACAAAAATTCCATGACGTATGAAGCCCTTATTCTTTTGCTGAGAACATTAAACTGTTGTGAATAAGAGAATTAGTAGTTTATCAAGCGTTTTTATTTTTTCTATTATCATCATCAGCCTATACATATATAGGAGAAGGTTTGAGCATTAATCACCATGCTTGCTCAAGGCAGATTAGTGATTTCAAACTTATAATTAGAAATTATTATAATTAGAATTATAATTAGAAATTATAAGTCTAGATTTCCTCACGATGTTTTTCTTCACCGTATGTGAGTGGTGTCTAAATAATCGTAGAAAGCACACATTATAACTCGGAAAAAGTCAATTTGGTGCTTGCCAGGTTTCGAACCTGCCCTCTCATGTATCAGAAGCGGGCGCCATATTTGTTCATATACGTATTGCAGGGAAGGTGGGATATTAACTTTAATTTTCCTTGCTTATTACTAGTTAGAATATTTAAATGACTCATAACTATCTTCATATAGAAGTAAAAACACATAGTTAGAAAAATGATAGTGATGGAAATTATACACAGACAAGTACTTACTCACATTTTGGCGGAACTTAAATCGAAATTGGTCACGTTCGTCGCTCTTAAGTTCTCATTTTTATCTGAAAAAAGAAAAACGTAGTTATTATTTAAACACTAAAGCGCTTTTTCGTAAAGCCTTTATCATTTAGGCTCACAGTTCCAAATTGAAGGCGAGTTTGGAGCTATGCCTAGTTTATGGCTATTGGTTGACCCGTATTAATTACTCATAATAAAATTGATGAAAAACAAGTGTTGCATTTAATACTTAAGTGCATTTGAGTCAATCATATCCTATCTTCCCTGCTCCCTCAAGTCCCAATTCCCAAATCTCAGAAACCCTTATCTCCAAAAGATCGAAAAGGCACTCGTTACTCCTCAGGCACTGCAGGTGTCTAAGGTCGATGTCGATTGCTTACCATCAGGTAATCTTTCATTTCATTTGACGACGTATCACATAAAAATATAAATTATTTAATGGCTTTTCTTACTGACTAAAAACTATTACGTCCCTTGTCCTGCTCCGGGATCTGGACTCCTGAGTTCCTTTTTGAAGTTATGTTATTATTGTTTGTCTAGGAACTTATCGCGTTATAGGTCCCTTTCGAAGATCCTCAACGAAATACAGGCGGGGTTGGACTTTTACTAACAAAAGCCTAGGCCACCTAGGAAATAGCCCGGGTTGCGGGGCAAGCGCAATGAGACACCGCGGCCACGGCCCAGAGCAGGAAAAGAAACGGGGGGGGGGGGGAGGGAACTAGACAGTAAGAATCTGACACTCCCTCCCGCCCGACCCTGGGTGGGAAAATTCGTTGGATGATATTTCCCTCACAAAAAAAGAAATATCTGTATATAGATATACAAATCAGAACTATAGGGATGCTTGTGAAATAGTTTGAAAATAATTTGGAAAACAAGTACCTATGTACATAATATGGGTTATGTTTTAAAGAAAAATATCGATTGTAATAAACAAACAGATAAAGAGTACCAACCATAAGATATTCCTGTAGTTTCCAACAAGTCAAATTAAAACTTTTATTGAAATGTCAAAAACGATACTTTTCTATGAATTTAGTATGAGACCGTTACCGTAACCGTGACATTATGACGACATAAAATGTTTTATGTCAAACATAATTTTTAAGTATAAAAAAAATGCTAGAAGAAATCTATAATTTTGTTAAGTATCAAATTAATGAATAAAAGTATGATTATAATTTAACAACTTTTTGTATTGATAATGCAATTTATTTTTCAGCAAGGAAGCTACACAATTATCCAGAAGTTGAAGGATTTTTAATGTACAGGGTATTTTACGGAAACAGTGAACTGTAACTTTTTGAATTGTAAAACTGATTGAAAAAGAGTAACCATGGAGTTTCTTGCTCGTTTTTCTCATAGGAATCTACACTTTGCAACGACCAATAGTTTCACTAGAGGACAGACGGACAGAATGAGACGCTTAAAGTTAAACCTCTTGAAATATTTTTTCCTTTTCTATTTCAAATATGTAAATGATTATGACTTTTCAGTCTTTAGAAATAATGCCACACAATTAAATATCTATGTAATAATAAATTACCCAAAGTTGTCTGTATATGCAGTTGAGGGTTAAGTAAAAAAATGTTCCATGGCTCCGGCTTGGAGCAGGTAAAAAAACGTGGCCTTTTTTAGTCGGTAAGAGTCTGTCCTATACAAGAAGAGAGAAGTCATATGACAATAGAAAGGAAGGTATCCTGTATATTTATTGTGTATCACAAGTTAAAGAAGATTCTTTTTAAATTTATAAACATCCAATAAAATCCTTATACACAAAATGCAACGTGCATAGAACCAATCTATTAATTCATCACTACTAATATTATAAAGAGGTAAAATTTTTAACTTTGTGTGTTTGTAAGTTTGAATGTAGGGGGTAATCTTTGGAACCGCTGGTCGGATTGTCAAAATTCTTTCACTGACAGATAGCTACAATGTTCCTGAGTGCTATAGGCTATAAAACATTACGCTAGAATTAAATGGAGCTGAGCAACGGGTGAAACCGCGCGGGAGTAGTTAGTTTAAAAATATAATTTAAATGCAAATTCATGTAATATTTGTACAAGGGGATTTTTTAGAATTGATTTAAACTAAATAGTTACATAAAATAATACTTTTATTTCAACAGTGATATATGTTAATAACATAGTATACTTGACTATATGTTAGTCATCTGCATTTATACATTATACAAAGAAAAGAATAGGTGATAATAATAGTTATAACATTGTCCTCGTAATATCTATAATATTAATAATAGTCTATAAATTAAACAGTTTATTTAAATTGAACAGTATTATCTTTTGTCTGACAAATAATTCTTTATAGTATTTCCAAAGTATTTAATTAGCTTTTGTTAGGTCCACTCAACTGTATGTTACTTAGCTTACCTTAATCTATCATTCCCTACCTTACCTACGAAAGGTAGGTAAACCTAACTTATCTATCTTACCTGCCTGGGCTACTTACCCTACCTACCCTAACTACTCTCTCTATTTTAGCTACCTATCTGACCTATCTGCCTTACCTACCCTACTTACTTTACCTACCTTGCCTACCTTGTGTACCTTTCTTCATCTATTTTTTATATCTAATAATGACGTGTCAAAGTGCTGTTTTAAGGGGTATTTACAAAAACAAATTCATTGTTTCATATCACTGCTAAGCCTAGCACCCTATCAAATTTATTTTATATTATACATTAAAAACCATTCCCTATAATAAACTCATACAGATACGTTTTTTTTTTAATATATATCTTTTTTAATAAAAGAGGTGTAGGAACAAACTTTTATGGGAAACTTTTCCGTATCGTGGCGTGAAAGGTGGGAGAAATATATAGGTACTTGAAAAAAAAAATAATGGAAAAAGTGTTAACGTAAAGAAAAATATAGGCATGCAAGCAATATTAAACGATGTATATCTTCACATAAAATATTGCATTGTTTGTTTGTTTGTTTGAATTTAAGATCGGATGTGTTGAATGACTGAATTGATAAATGAATGACGCATTGCAAGCTGAAAATAGTTACAAATAGTTTCACGTTTACGATTGTAAAATGAATACATAAACCTATTATCATCATAACATCTCGATGCATTAAGAAAATACTTCTTAAGAACCAAAAACTAATAACAAAAAATATATAACTGTTATTACCTATACGAATGTATACAATATACCTATACGTATATATAGGAAGTCGGTACCACAAGTCCTAAACAAAAGTACTGACTAAAACCTTAATAACTACCTACCCTATTAAATATATATGTCAATCAGCTTTGCCTATAGACACCCGCAATAGAGGAGTTACGAGGGCGTTGCCGACCTTTTGGGGATTAGATTTGGAGATTTAGGGATTGGGGAGGACTGGGCCTCCGATAAACTTATGCAATATTCAGCTTTACTTCAGACACATAGCAAGGCATTTTTTATGATATGTACATGTTTATTTAGGTTTTAAAATCGTAAACCAATCAAAGTACAATATAAGACACATAATTATGAGACCTCCGCTGAATAGAGATGGTTGTTTGACATAAGATTTCAGTATTGTATTCAATAGCTATCTGATATAACTCGGGGATTATAAAAAAAAATCAAATATATTTTCAAATTAATCTAACAGTTCAACACATATGAAATTATTATTCAAGTACATTAATATTTTTGTATTATTAATATTATTTCCATGTTTGTTTTGCGAGATCACAGGATCCCGGGCCTTTGGAAGGCGTACGACGGGCCGAAGTCATCATTATTTATATTAATTATTATTCTACGGAATTATTATTCTATTAGCATTATTAAATACATGACGTTACCACGTCATGCTTAAACAAGCTACCGCTTGTTTAAGCATGAAAAAGATAGAGTTTTTGAAATGCAATGGTTTTTTTTCGTATTTTCAGTGGTAGAAATAAACAATAACATGTTTCAATTCAACGTGGAATCACATAGTACCTAACACTCACCCACCAAAATTAATTGTATAAAACTGATAATAATAACTGATTAACATGATACATAACTTTGTTTATCTATCTATATTTATAAAAGAAATTCGTGTTAGTTACTCCACTTATAATTCAAGAACGGCTGAACCGATTTAGTTGAAAATTGGCAGGGAGGTAGTTTAGAGTTAGGAGAAAGACATAGGATAAGATAGAGTAGGTAGAGTAGGGTAGGAAGAGTAGGGTAGGTAGAGTAGGGTAGGTAGAGTAGGGTAGATAGAGTACGGTAGGTAGAGTAGGGTAGATAGAGTAGGGTGGGTAGCCAAATGTCGGGAGCGACGCCACGGCCAAGAGCTAGTTAAAGAATAAACTTACCTGCCGATAGAGTTCTTACAAATATTTGCTGTATCTTAAAATTAACCATTTTGCACTAATAAAAAGAAATTGACACTGAAATCCTTCTTTTATTTTTGTCTCATATCATTTATATCTTCATTAAAGTACTTTACACATTTTATTCTGTCGAAAATTTACATTAAAACATTTGTTAAATAATTCAATACCACGACACGACCTAAGTCTATGAAAGATGCCTGCATTATAGTAAAGACGAGCTCCTAATTGATATATAATATAGATCGACAGCAAATATAACGGATAACAAAGGCTAGTTATTTTAATGAGATATAATTTATATTTAAACGATGATGATCTGTTCTTTGAATATTTATTTCTTGCCGGTATAAATTATGAATAATTGGTCAATTATGAATCCTAAATGTATGGTAGAAAAGATTTAAATTAGACCAATCAAGTGTGGATTAGTGGTGCAGGGTTCCGTTGGGTCAATTTTTTTTTACATTTATTAATAAATATATTATTATAAGAGAATCTAAAAGACTGAAATTATTGTTTTTTCATAGCAAGTTCCATGAAATACAAAACCAAATTTATTGAAAATAACGAAAAACTCACGTGAATTAACTGCGCTAGAATCTCTCTACTAGAATATTTGTTAGAAATTCGAGTTGTCTTTTTCTAATATTTTTTTAATAAATTTATAGCTAAAGGAAACTAAACTCGT